CTGTATTATCGCTAAACACACTGTTTTTGAGAATTTGGTTTGCAACTAGGTTCCAACGCCATCATCCCATTGAAAACATTAGGTCACGTCAGCTAGTTTCCTATCCATGTATTTTATTATCCATGCTGAAAGGTAGAAACCCTGGGTGGTAAAACTTCTTTTTTCATTTTCAGACGTAGACGAGTGCGCTACGGAAGGTATTTGTGGAAATGGTACATGCACCAACACTCCTGGTAGTTATACGTGTGATTGTGCTGTTGGTTTTAAACGTGGTCGCTCTTCACCTAGTTGTGAAGGTAGGTTACAATACTTATCATTATGCAAGTCTTCTCTAATGTTTGCGTCCAGCCATATCGTATAGCCATTCGTAGATTCTTTGGGAAATTAAACATGATTGATAAAATTTTACGAAGTGAGTGGATATCAGGCAGTCAGCTGATATTTCTTTTGTAGTAATATTAATATACTAGCATTACGATGGCTGCCTATATTGTCGAGCGTAGAGAAAGTCATCTGTTTCTCATTGCTTTTAAACCATGTATTTTACTAATTGGCCGTCATACCTTAAACTAGATATTTATACTCCAGGAAGATCGCTAAAGTCTTCAACAAAGACACCATTGAAAGTGCCGTTAGTACTGTACCAGGTACTTTCCAAGACAGTACATTTTATGTTTTTAATATTTTACCTTCTACAGTCAGAAACTGTGTCTTATTTACAGATTGTAAAAGTCTATTATCGAAACATTTAAAGGATAAGGCTACCATTAGACTTAATTCTTAGTTATTAGTAATCTCATATATTTTAATCTCAGAAATATAGTTTAGATATGATTAGTTGTATTAATTTATTGTTTACAGATGAAGAGACAACTTGGTGGAAATGCTGTAATAGCATTATTATTATTATTATTATTATTTATTATTCTAACTTGGTATACTTCGAACTTATATCTGTCAGAATATAAATTGGTGCTGGTATACGGTTTCCTTTAAGTTATTCCTGAGCAAACGGTCAATGTCAAGAGTTTTTCGGGAGGTACAAGTACATGGAAAATGCTCTATTTACAGAAAAACTATTCTATTTACAGACACTGATGAGTGTTCTGAAACGCGAAATCTCTGTGCATTCCGCTGTGTTAACATACCTGGAGCATATCGCTGTATTTGTCCTCGAGGTTATAAGCTTCATGCTGATGGCAGACACTGTACAGGTATGCTTTTACAATGGACCGATTTGTACAAAGAGAAAGATATAGTACTTTTTTAATTCGCTTGTGTGTGAATGCGGCAAACAGACGTATCATTCGCCAAGATTACACATGTAAAAATGCACAGTTTGTAACAAAACTGCAGCAGACTTGTAACAATGCTGTTCCAACAACTTGTCAACAGGATGTATTCGCACTGCTTGTTCCCGGCTTGTCGACAAGTTGCCAACGGCTTGCTACAAGCTTGTTGAGCTCAACAGACTTGTTATAAGTTGTTGTTATCGTCTTGCAATTCAACAATTTGTCAACAAGTTGTGCGTGACAAGCTTGTAGCAACTTGATGAAATGACAGCATTGTTACAACTTGTTGACAAGCTTGCTACAAACATGTTGCGATCACGTCAAGTTGTGAGATTCTTACACATGCAAAAATCTCACATCTTGTAGCAAGTCTGCCAACAAGCCGTCGACAAATTGTTTTCGCACTGCTTATCCCAAGTTGTCAACAAGTTTTGAACAAGCTGTTAACAACTTGTAACAACCTTGTTGATATTATCAGACTTGTCGCGAGGTTGTTCCATGTCCGATACAGCCATGATATAACAACATTGTTACAACCTTGTGTCGTCAACCTTGTATCATTCTTGTTATATCATGACTGTATCAGACGTGGTAGAACAACCTTGTAACAAGTCTAATAATGCCATCAAGCTTGTTACAAGTTGTTAACAGCTTGTTCCGAAGTTGTTGACAACTTGGGACAAGCAGTGCGAACACAACTTGTTGACTGCTTGTTGGCAGACTTGCTACAAGATGTGAGAGTTTTACGCGTGTAGCAAATCTGTCAACAAGTCGTCAACAAGTTGTGTTCGCACTGCTTGTCCCAAGTTGTCAACAAGCTGTTAACGACTTGTAACAAGCTTGATGGCATTATCAGACTTGTTACAAGGTTGTTCCAACAAGTCTGATATAATCATGATATAACAAGAATGTTACAAGGTTGATGACACAAGGTTGTAACAATATTGTTATATCATGACTCTAATCGGACTTGTTAGAACAACCTTGCAATAAGTCTGATAATATATATCAACAAGGTTGTTACATGTTGTTAACAGCTTGTCCCAAACTTGTTGACAACTTGGACAAGCAGTGCGAAGACAGCTTGTTGACAGCTTGTCGGCAGAATTTCTACAAGATGTGAGAGTTTTACGCGTGTAGCAAGTCTGCCAACAAGTCGTCAACAAGTTGTGTTCGCACTGCTTAACCCAAGTTGTCAACAAGTTTGGAACAAGATGTTGACAACTTGTAACAACCTTGTTGATATTATCAGGCTTATTGCAAGGTTGTTCTAACAAGTCCGATGCAGTCGTGATATAACAATATTGTTACAACCTTGTGTCGTCAACCTTGTAACATTCTTGTTATATCATGACTTGTATCAGACTTGTCAGTCTGATAATGCCATCAAGCTTGTTACAAGTTGTTAACAGCTTGTTCCAAACTTGTTACAACAACTGGGAACAAGCAGTGCGAACACAACTTGTCGACAGCTTGTGAACAGATTTGTATAACAACTTGTTTGCAGACCTGTAACAACTTTTGCGTTTTTACACGTGTAATCTAACTTTATTTCCTTCTATTCAGATGTGAATGAATGTGTGACTGGCACCCACAATTGTCGTTATGTCTGCAAGAATTTCGTCGGTGGATACAAGTGTGTCTGTCCTGAAGGTTTCCGGAGAGCTGGTGGACGAAGATGTATTGGTAAGTAATTTTCATTGCCAGCCATTGTAAATAAGTAATTTTCGTGCGCAAGCGGTTATTTTTACCGCGCGTAATACAAATGTATACAAAATTTGCGAACTTCACAGGGCTATATTTTCTTCATTTTACAACATTCAGGGACGCCGGAACTGGGGGGGGCAGGAGGGGCAGCCGCCCCCGTTGCCCTTTATCAGGAGGGGCAAGGGGGGCAAAGGTGCCCTTTCAATTTAAAGGATTGGCTTGGCGAAATAGCGAATTGTCAGAAATTGTCAGTGCAATTAGCGAATTGTCAGTGCAATTCTTTTACGAATTTGTTTCAGGTAACGCAAGAAATGCAGTCATCGAGCTTCAAGAATAGCACATGATGGCCTGGCGGAGAACCCCCTCACACCCCTATCATCCAATAAATAGAAAACATGATTAGGCGAAGTTCAACTCCCGATGTTTTGCAAACATCTCTTAGTATATATCAATTCAAAAGTGCCCTTTCACGTAAATTTGCCCCCCCCCCCCTTGCCTTCACATCGTTCCGGCGTCCCTGACAACATTTACCAACCAATCTTTGCAGTTTTACTCATTCTAAGATGCTCCTTCTAGCTGTGGTGTTGGATTTCGTTCCTCTTGCCTTGATCGAAATTTAGTTTATAGCTGGATCACCCATATAAGAGGTGGTTTCTCTTGCTATAAACTAGGGTGTAATTTGAAACTGCTCTACTGACAATAGGATTTTACACGAAAAATAAAGTTTCCTCTCATCCAACACACCCCCAAGCTACAGGTTTTAGTGTCTTGTTTCATGACTCCAGTATTATCATGTGGTATATTTCAGACGTTAATGAATGCAGAGAGGATACGAGTCGATGTTCAAATGGTGTCTGCCGTAATACCGCTGGTAGTTATATCTGCGACTGCAACGATGGGTACAAACGAACGTCTGATGGCAAAAGTTGTGAAGGTCAGTGGAATAAGATGAAGAACATTTGATTGGTGTAGTTTATGAACTAGTTTCCAATTTTTCTTCCTAGATCTGAGCCGTGGTTTATGTTTCTCGCAAGTTGACAATGGTATATGCAAGGGATCCACCAAGATGATGCTGCTGGTCACTAAGAGTGATTGTTGTTGTACTGCAGGCACAGCTTGGGGTAGTCAGTGTATTCTTTGCCCGAGGCCGGAGACTGGTATGTACTATTGAAAACACGAGCAGGAGCATATCTGACAAAGTACGGACTGCGCGTGTTTTAAATAGCTTAAATATATTTTAAATTTAAAATAAATTTGTTACAATACAATACCGATAATATCGCCAACAAAAATACCCATACCGATATTTTGAATTTATGGCCGATACATGGATATCAATGATCACTATAGTATTTGTTACCAGCTGGTGTGTGATAGCTAGTGTGAGGTAGTCATCATTACTGTAAAATGAAAATTGATTATTTTATTTCATTTTCAGTTGCACATAAAAGACTTTGTATCTCAACTCAAGATAAATGTAAGTTTAAAAGCCTTACAATGTGTAATGGAAAACATCATTTTTAAACTTTTTTCCCCAGACAGTTAGTACCATCGACCTTCCTCTTCTCACATATGACCGAGATAATCAGACAATGGACCATTTGCATTATAGATTTGATCTAGACAAAAATTTCATCACAGCTTGAAAGAGCATCACAAAATTAGTAATATTCCAAAGTTTCGTTGCGAAATGTTGTAAAATGCGGATAATATAGCCTTGCGAAATTTGCAATTTTCAGTCATTTTGTGTTACAAACGGGAAATTGATGCCCCAACACCCGATTGGGCTGTCAATTTCCCGTGCGTAATACAAAATAACTGAAAAACGGCAAACTTCGCAAGGCTATATTCGCATTTTACAACATTTCGCAACGAAACATTGGAATATTACTAATTTTGTGATGCTCTTTCAAGCTGTGATGAAATTTTTGTCTAGATCAAAATTTTGTCTATAATGCAAATGATCCATTGCCTACTACAGGATTCAAACCTCAGTCACGCACACTGATCAACCACTTTGCCAGTAACGGTCTTTGCTTCTAAACGTGTACGTTCATTTACAAGAATATTCATTCATTTCAGTGATGGACGAATGCAGCATGATTCCAGACTTATGCAAACCGAATGGTAAATGTATCGACACACGTGACTCTTACCGCTGTATGTGCCACCATGGTTACCAACTGAGCAGAAACGGCAAGAGTTGTGTTGGTGAGCCATTGATTATTCTACAACATATATGACACAGTAGCTCTTGAATATTGAGGCACGCGCGATTCGCTCTCGTGCACTTTTGCTTCGCATAACTTGCCCCTGAAAGAATGATTTACAGCCCGCATTCAATGCTTTCTACGCAACATAAACTATAAGTGCATATCGCTTTAAGCGATGTATAACTTTCTTCATGCTTCAATACAAAAACCAAGGTCTATTGTGGATTATAACTAGGGACGAAACTTGAGGGGGCAAAGTACAAATCATCTGGATTGGCAGGGCAATGAAAGATTTTAAATGATAGAATGTAGAGTTATTAAGTAGCTTCCAGAGGGAATTGAATAGAATTTATAGACCTAAATTTTACAGATATTGGTAAAAAAATAAGGGTTTCATGTTTTTCGCCCCTTTTTTGAATGTCCGGAAGAAAATATTTCGACCTCCCCCCGCTCGCCAACATTTTTGGGAGAAATAATGGCCAAAAAAAACATTTTGCTGCAGGGCATCATCGGCTTTCGCAGGGCAATTCTAGCAGACACCCCCTAATTAAAAAGGGCTAGTTTCGCCCCTGATTATAACGGTCGACAATCGACTATTTGCCGAACAAAAACCTTGGCTAACATAAGATGCATTTCTTCCTCCCAACAGACGTAGATGAATGCGCTAGGACACCAAAGCCATGTCGTACCGAATGCGTGAACACACCAGGAAGCTACAGATGTAGATGTCCTGTTGGTTATCAACAAATATCAGGAGTTTGTCAAGGTTTGCATTTTACATTGTTCTGTTTCGGTTTGTTTCCCTTTTGTTATCCTGTGTTGTCCGTTTCGGTATTCAGGTTACACACACAAAAAAACGCACAAGTTGTAACAAACTTACAGCAGGCTTGTAGCAATGCTGTTCCAACAACTTGTCATCAGGTTGTGTTCGCACTGCTTGTTCCCAGCTTGTTGACAAGTTGTCAACGACTTTTTGACAACTTGATACAAGGTTGTAACTTTTTGACAACTTGCTACAAGGTTGTAACTTTTTGACAACTTGATACAAGGTTGTAACTTTTTGACAACTTGATACAAGGTTGACAGGTTGTTGAGCTCAACAGACTTGTTACAATGGAACAACTTGTTAAGAGTTGGAACAACCTTGTTGATATTATCAGACTTGTCGCAAGGTTGTTCCAACAAGTCCGATACAGCCTTGATATAACATTGTTACAACCTTGTGTGGTCAACCTTGTAACATTCTTGTTATATCATTACTGTATCAGACTTGTTAGAACAACCTTGCAATAAGTCTGATAATGCCATCAAGCTTGTTACAAGTTGTTAACAGCTTGTTCCAAACTTGCGAACACAACTTGTGAACAGATTTGTAACAACTTGTTCGGAGGTCTGTAACGACTTGTGCGTTTTTATGTGTGTATGCCAAACGTGGTCGAGTTGCAGGTTTAGAAACTAACTTCAATCTTATTCGTTTTAAGATATTGACGAATGTCAAAACAGGAGTCATAACTGTCCACAAGGCTGTCAAAATACTGTCGGCAGTTATAGATGTGCATGTCGTCAGGGGTATCGATGGACTGGAACTGCGTGCGCAGGTAGGGATATATGTGGATATGTTTATTTTGTGTGTGTTGGTGTTATGTACTCAGGTGAATATGACGTTTGTGATGTTACTCTGAGTGTGCATCCACACCGGGCAAGCTGAAAAGTTAGCTAGTATCCCTAAGGTTGCGGGTTTGATTCCCATTGTGGCCAAGCTAACTTTTCAGCTTGCCTAGTGTGGATGCACACTCAGAGTAACATCACAAACATCATATGTGGATCTTCTGGGAAAATGAGCACCTCCAATAAAAAGTCAGCACCAACTTGTGCGTAGTGTAACTTCTATAATTCACGGCATTGCTGCGATTTTAGGTGCGAATTTCTTCTTCTGATGTATGTGAACGAGTGAATGAGTTAGGAATGTTTAGATGAGGGTAAACATACTCAGAGCATTCATAACTTATTTACTCGTTTACATCCATCAGAGGAAGAAAATTGCACTTGAAATCGCAGCGAAAATTTCAAGTGTAAACGGACCTTTAGATAAATTGCGATGTGATGGAGGGGTACACCCAACACCGCGGAAAAACGTCTGCGCATGCGTCAACCATACCTGTAATAGTATTGCGAACTTGATGAGAAGCTGTTCCGAACGTTTCCGAAGGCTCAAAATGGCGGTAAAAAGGAGTGACTTCATTGTGCGTCTTTACAGCCAGATTTCGAGCGCAAAAATAAACATGTCATTCTAAAAACTAGGAATAAATACAGCCAGAAGGTTCAAGAAATTGTATTGTACAAGAACATGAACTAAAGGTGATTGTTGACAAATTTATCGTCTGAAACATTTTGTTTATCCACTAAGCAATGACAATTTCCGAATTTTCGTTTGAGATACATTTCTTTAAAAAAAACTGTGTCGCCAAATATAAAAAATTTGCGTGTTCACAATAATTAAACTTTAGGATTTATTCTACAAT